TACCCACCCCACCATGACACCATGATGACCCTGTGCCACCTCACCATGTCACATCAGATGAACTCATGCCCACCCCAGCATGCCACCCCAGGTCCCATGCCCTCATGTCTACCCTGCTGTGCCACCCTAGATGACCCCATACCCACCCATGACACCCCAGATGCCCCCATGTCCACAAAGACCCCATGCCACACCAGTGGCACCCCAGATGACCCCATGACCACCCCACCATGACCCCAGATGCCCCCGTGCCATCCCACACTCACTTGTTCTGCTGCAGCTCCTCCAGGTTGGCCGCGTTCCACTCGGAACCCTGTGCGGTGACAGCGGTGAGGGGTGGGGACACCCCTGCCCACCCTGCCCACCCTTCCCACCCCACTGCCCACCAGGTAGAGGTGTGGGAAGATGCGTGAGGGCCGGTCCATCTGTGCCAGCACCAGAAGCATCTCGTTGTCAATGAAGTCCTTGTGCTGGGCCAGGCTGTGCCCTGTGCGCCGCTCCAGCTCCTCCCGCACCTGCACACCACCAGGGGTGAGGGATGGCCGTGCCTGGCCCTCCCTGTCCTCCCCACCTGCTGCCACCCACCTCCTTGGAGGTGACGTTCTCCAGGTCAGCAGTGGCCATCACGTCCCGCAGCAGTGCCCGCACCGCCTGCTCTGACAGCTCTGTCGCAGCTGGCCTGGCTCCCACATCACCTCGTCACGGGTGTCACTGCCGCCACCATCCACCCGCCCCACCCAGACCAGGCCCTGCACAGACCCCGCCTCCTCGTGCTCAGGTCCTTCCCCTAAATGCAAGCCCTACCTCTCCATTACCCATTTTCTTTAAGCTGGAAACTTAAAGACTGGAAGCTCTACCCATTTTTTTTAAGCCCCACCCCATTCCTTCAAGCCCCACCCCATTTCCTGTAAGCCCCACTTATTTCTTTAAGCCCTACCCTATTTCCTTTAAACCCCTCCCCATTCCTTTAAGCCCCACCCCATCCAGACAAACCCTGTCCCATAAGCCACACACTGAATGCAGACCCCACACCTTAGCACAAGCCCCGCCCTCACAGCCCCACCCAATGCCCCACCCTTATACCACAAGCCCCAGCCCTACCCAGGCTGTAGGGCAGGGCAGGGGCGGGGCAAGGGGCGGCTCTTACCGCAGGGGCGGGGGCGATGCAGGGCGCACGGACTCGAGGTCAGCCATAGCCAGCCACTCGTTGAGGCAGCTCTGCTCTGAGCTCAACGCTGCTGCATAGTCGTGGGCCCAGGCCAGCGTGGGGCCCCCCGGGATGTGCCCACCACGGGCAGCGTCCTCGCAGGCGCGGTGCAGCTCCTGCAGCATGGCCCTGCCGCACACCACCTGCCACCCCTGCTCTGCCACCACCACCCTGACACCACCTGACACCAGTCTGCCACCACCCCAACACCTGTGTCCCCTGTGTTGGCCGTCCCCAGCATGTGGGTGCCACTATCCCTCTCCCAGCCGTGCCCAAACCCTACCCCAACCCTGTTCCCATGACTGTGCCCAGATGCCCATGGTGGTGCCGGTAGGTCCATGTCCTGGCTGTGCCCATGGTGGTACCCACATCCCCTGTGCCTATGCTGACACCCACGTTCCCTGTTTCCAAGCAGTGCCCATGTCCCCCATGCCTCCAGCAGTTCCCATATCCTGTGTCCATGATGGTGCCCCTATCCCCTGTGCCCTTGGCAGTGCCCACATCCCCCATGTCTGTTGTGGTGCTCAGATCCCCCATGCCATGGTGGTGTCCCCACCCCCTTTGCCCATGTCCAGGGTGGTGCCCACATCCCCCGTGTCCCAGGTGGTGCCCACATCCACCTTCTCTTGGATGGTGACACATTCCCTGTGCCCATGGTTGTGCCCACAGTGGTGCCCACATCCCTTGTGCCCATCCTGTTACCCACATCCCCCTTGCCCACAGTGGTGCCCACATCCCCCTTGCCTGGGATGGTGACACATTCCCTGTGCCCACAGCAATGCCCAAATCCCTCATGCCCATCGTGTTACCCCCATCCCCCATGTCCAGGGCAGTGCCCACACCCCTCACACCCACAGCAGTGCCCACATCCACCATGCCCATGGCAATGCCCATGTCCCCCACATCCGAGGTGGTGCCCACACCCCCCATGCCCTCGGTCACACCTGGGCCTCGCTCACCACATGGTCTGCACCGAGATGGGCTTGAAGATGCGGGTCTGTCCCCCCGACGTCACGCTGAACCCCCTGGACACCGCGGGGACACACGTGGGTTGGGGTGGGCACCCCAGGCCCACCCCTCACACGGGCCCTGCCCCCTTAAGCCCCTCCCCATTCCCAGAATCCCAGCCCCCCCTTACCCATCGCCATCGAGGAACACCTGGGTATCGCTCCAGAGGGGCAGCACCATGCCCAGGGTGCAGCGGGCGGCCCTGGGGCGGGCACAGGTCAGGGGGTGTGGCCGCCCCCCCGTGCCCCCCCCGCAGCCCGCTCACCCCTCGTGGGCGAAATCCACTCCCAGCAGCGCCGTCTGGCCCTCGGCTCCCGCCTCCTCCGGCCGCACCACCAGCAGGTACCGCACGCGCCGTGGCCGCGCCGACTCCAGCCGCACCGCCTGAGGGTGTAGGGGGTGTTGGCAGAGGGATCTGCCCCTCCCCAGAGCCCCCCAGTGCTCCCAGGGACCTGGGAGGAGCATCAAACACACCGAGGGGCCAGGCTGGGCCGTATCCCATCCTTACCCCATCCCCATCCATTCCATCCCTCTTCTCATCCTGTCCTGTCCTGTTCCTTACTCATCTTGACATCATCCTACCACATCCCCATCCACCCCATCCCATTCTGTTCCTGTCAGTATCCCACCCCCATTCAATCTCATCCCAATTCTGTCCTGTCTTATCCTATCCCCTTCCCTGTCCCATTTCTTGTTCCATCCCATCCCCATCCTCATCTCATCTCCATCCTGTCCCCATCCATATCCCATTCCCATCCTGCCCCAATCCTCATCCCGCTCCCTATCTTGTCCCATCCCATCCTCAACCATGTCCCCATTCCCATCCTGCCCCCATCCTCATCCTACTCCCTATCTTGTCCCATCCCATCCTCAACTGTGTCCCCATACTGTCTCATCCCATTCAATTCCCATCTCTGTCCCTATCCCCATCCCTATCCTCATTCTGTCTTCATGCCATATCCCCATACCCATCCTGTCCCATCCTGTCCCCATCCCATGTCAAATTCTGTCCATCCCCATTCTATTTCCATTCCCACTCTATCCCTTTCTGTCACTGTCCCCATCTCATCTCTATCTCATCCCATCCCATCCCCATGTTCCAGAGGGATCCATGCCCTACCAGCCGGATGGCATCCTGGGGGCGCAGCAACTGCATCATGAGGTGTAGGTGCTTCTCCTGCTGCCCCGGGGCCTGGCCAGGGGGCTCATCTTCGGGAGACTCATCCAGGGGGGTCTCAGCCGGGGGAGGCTCGTCCTGGGGGGGCTCCTCTGCAGGCAGCAGCAGCGCAGCCCCCTTGACCATGACAAAGCTCTGCCTGGGGGGCAGGAGGGTCCTGAGCAGCCAGGACACCCCCAGAGCACTCCTTCGAGGGAGACAGAGCTGGGGAGGGGGCAGCTGTACCCCCCCATCCCAGTGCCCCCCATCCCGGGGGTCCCGAGGCCCCTCTCACCGCCGCTGCAGTTTGCCGCGTCTGGGAGCATCTTCCTCCTGCAAATTGTGGGGGCAATTCCTGGGGGGAGCGTGACCCCAGGGCACAGACCATGCCTGGGCATCCCACACAATCCCCCCCAGCATGGACACCACAGTCCAGTGACCCCCTGCCAACCACCACCCCCAATAGCATGAGTCCCTGAGGGGGGTGTGGGGGCCTGGGGGACCCCTGGAGGGTCCCACTGGGGAGGTGGATTCCTGGGGACTTCCCCTCGGAATAGCAGATGGGGTACTGCCTTCGTGCCCCCCAGGCCTGGAATGGGGAGCCTGGGATGAGCGCCCAGAAAAGGCCCAATGGTTACTGGAGGGGGGGGCACTGGGAGCCACTGGGACAGCAAAGGGACTGGGAGGACTGAGGAAAGTGGAAGCAACTGGAGACAACCCCCCATCCACCCCCCGATCTTCCCCCCTTAACTACGGGAGCAGCGGAGACACCAACGTGCACTGAGGGCAACTGGGTAAACTTCCAGCAAACTCGTAGTAAAGTTCCACCAGGAACGGCCGGGATAACCTTGCACTGGGAGCGACTGGAGATTTCCGCCCCCACCCCCTTCGCGCTGGGATCCCCCGGAACAGGCTATCGGGACCTCCGAGGCACCGGGACTCCCGGGAACATCCTGTACCCCCCGCACCGGGACACCCCGAACCAACTTAACCCCCCCCCAGGGCACCGGGACCCGCAGGAGCTCTGAGACCCCCAGGCCCATCCCGTAGCCCCGCACTGGGATCCCCCGGGGCTCTGGGACAGCCCATTTTCCCCCGGGAGTCCTCATATCCCCGCACCGGGATCCCCTGTGCCAGCCCGTACCCCCGCACCGGGACCTCCCGGGGCTCCGGGACCCCCCGTCCCGTCCCCGCCGGGATGCCCCGCTCAGTCCCCATCCCGGTGCCGCACTCACCGCGGGGCCCCCGGCGGAGCCCCCCGCCCGCCGCACCGTCACCAGCGCCATGCCCTCCGCGCCGCCCCCCCGCACCAGGAAGCGCCGCCGCCGCCCCGCCCGGACGGGAACGGGAACGGGAGCGGGAGCGGGCACGGCCCCGGGCACGGCACGGCCCCCTCCGGGCAACACTGCCCCCGGGACCATCCGAGAGCCCTCGCTCAGAGCGGGACATCTCCAGTGTCCCGGAGCTGCCCTGGCAGCCTTTCCCGGGGATTAGCCGGGCCCCCCATCCGCGTTACCCCTGGGCAACTCAGGATTCACATTCCAGCTCGTGGGAGGCCGCCTCCCCGGGAAAGAGGGAAACTCCCGAGGCTCCCCGGCACATGGGACCCCCCATGTTGCCAGCAGGCAGGAACCCACCCAGTTTCCCAGGACCTGGGACCCTCCAGGTCCTCAGAGGGTGGAACCCCTCTGAGGGTTCCCAGCACTTGGGACCCCACCCAGGCCCCCAGAAGGTGTGACCCACCCCACTCTCAGATCTCCAGAAAATGGGAAGCCCCCAAGGGTCCTGGCACCTGGGACTCCTCAAGTCCACAGCAGGTGGGAACCCCACAAGGGTCCCCAGCATCCACACCACCCCAGATCCCATCATGTGGGAATCTCCTAAGGGTCCCCAGCAGATGGGAACCCCCACCACAGTTCCCTAACCAATGGGACACCCCCAGGTCCCCAGCAGGTGTGAATGTCCTGAGGGTCCCCAGCACTTGGGACACCCCCAAGGTCTCATTGGGTGGAAATCCCCCAAGGGTCCCCAGTATGTGACACCCCCCCAAACCCCCTGTCACCCCATGGGTCCCCAGCCAAGCCCCTCTTCCTGGGTGAGGGTCTCCTCAGGAAATATAAATTAAATAAATCAACTTCAGGGCTAGGAATGGGGGTAGAGGGCCAGATTTGGGGAGGTTGAAGGGGAGGAGCACCCCACCAGTGCCACCCATACGCTTACTGGCTGAGGCTCATCACCTGAGCCCCACCCTACCTGCAGGCTCCACCCTTTTTCCCAGCCTCCACACCCTGGGACACCCCACCCATCACCCCCACAGGCACAGACACACATTTGTGTATATATATATATATATATGTATATGTATATGTATATGTACAGACACTCGGCCCCCCCCTGCTTCCCCCACTGCCCCAAGGGATGAGGCCTGGGGGTCCCCTGGCAGCTCCCCCACTGGAGTACCTTTAAATAGGGGTCACCCACATCCCTCGGGGCCGTCCTGCCCCCCAGGGGGTCAAGGTACAACATTAAAGAGGAGGGAGGTCCCAGGGGAGGGAGTCCTGGAAGTTGGGGTGTTCCTGGGGTGGGGGTCCCCAGGTGAGGGTCCCTGGGCTGAGGTTTGAGCCTGGCGGGAGAGGAGCCCTGGACTGGGGGTCCTGGGGGTAGGAGGATCCCTGGATCAAATCCCCCCGTGTGGGGGCTGTGCCCACATCAGGGGGTCCCCATCATGGGGGGGCCACCCCGGCAGGGCTATGCCCAAACTGAGGAGTCCCCTGGGTCGGGTGTCCCTGTCCCTGCAAGGGGTGTGTCCCCACGTGGGACATCCGTGTCCCTGCATGGTGTTACCCCACATGGGACATCCCTGTCCCAATGCGGGACATTCCTGTCCTGGTGCAGAGTGTCCCGGCACTACTTTTCGGTGAGGGAGAGGCGCAGGATGCGCTGGAGCTCCTCATCCTCCTCACGCCGCCGTCGCTCCCGCTCCTCCTGCTCCCGCTCCGAGAGGGCCATGGCCAGGCGCAGCTGCTCTGCAAAGGTGCTGTACCCGGGGGGGCCCGGGGGGCTCCCGCCACCTGCACCGGGGGGGCTCCCGGCGGCCGGGGGGTCGGCGCTGGGCCTGGCCTGCAGCAGCATGCTCTCCTGCAGGGCCCTGACAGGGGGACAGCAGGCGTGGCCGGGTCCCCTTTGTGGAGGCCACACCCCCTTTGTGGAGGCCACACCCCTCTTACACACCTGTGCCCCACCCACCCCAGGTGGCCACAACCTGCTTCACAATGCCAAAATGGGCTGGAGAGACACACCCCCCACATGCTCCACCCACACCCATCACTAGCCCCATCCTCTATGGCCACACCCTTTGGACAGTAAGATGCTCCTCCCCTCTTTGTGGCCCCCCAACCTTGATACTGTTAAGCCCTGTCCCTCTAAGCCACACCTCATGGCCCTGCCCCTCTCCCACTAACTTTTTAAGCCCCTTTAGGCCACACCCCTCTACCCCACCCTGATACCTTTAGGGCTCACCCCCTAAGCCACACCCTCAGAACCCTTTCCCTACCCAATCTGACACCTTTAACCCCCTCCCCTTTAGGCCACATCCCTATGGCCACACCCCCTCCCCTCTTCTCAACTGGACACACATAAACCCCTCCCCTCTAGGCCACACCCATGTGGCCCCTCCTCTCCCCAGTTTCACACCTTGAAGCCCCGCCCCTCTAAACCACACTCCATGGCCCCTCTCCTGCCCCACTCTAACACATTTGGGCCCCTTCCTCACACCAGGTGAGGTGGGCATGGCACCCCACACCCCATGGGTGGAGCCCCCACCTTTCCAGCTGCAGGTCCTCGTCGTAGGGCGGTGGCTCCGCGCCCGGTCGGGTGTTGGTCAGCGCCTCCCAGATGGTCACCTGTGGGGTCGGGCTGCAGGTGAGGGGGTGTGGCCAAGTGAGGGGGTGTGGCCAGGTGAACAGGTGTGGTGAGGGGGGCGTGGCCATACCTGGTCGGTCTCGGTGCCGGCATCCAGCAGGCTCTGCTGGATGGCGAACTGCAGCAGGTCATCGTCCTCATCCCGCAGGGGCTCGCTGCGCCCCGCGCCCAGCACCGTGTACCCCGCAGGCACCTCGAACACACCCGCCTCCACCTCGCATGGGAACGGCCAGGCTGCCATGCCAAGGGGGCTGTCAGCACCTGGGGTATCCCATGGCTCCCCATGGCACCCCACGGCTCCCCATGGAAGCCCATGACATCCCATGGCACCCCACACATCCCACGACATCCCATGGTGTCCCACAGCATCCCATGGCACCCCATGGGGTCCCATGGAACCCCATAGTATCCCACAGCACCCTGCACCCATGGCACCGCACAGCACCCTGTGGAATCCCGCAGCACCCCACAACACCCCATGGCACCCCACAGTGTCCCATGACACCCCACAGCATCTCACAGCACCCCATGGCACCCCGTGGCATCCCACAGTGCCTGTGACACCCCCCCCCCCGGCATCCTGTGGCATCCCATGGCACCCCACATCATCCCACAGTGTCCCCTGGCACTCCACAGCACTGCACACTCACTTCATTACCCCGAGCACTCTGTACCACCTGTACCCCCACCCCACCCTGAGTCCACCGGGATCCCACGGCCCCTCCACCCCCAGCCCCAGGACGACCCTGGCTCCCCCAGCCTCACCTCTGGGCCCAGGGGGGTTGGTGCCGGGGGGGTGGGCGCCGGGGGGCTGTTGGGGGGCACAGATCCGCACGGAGCCCAGCGGCTGGTCACACCCACACAGGTTGCTGAAGGTGATGCGGGCATTGAGCACGTGGAACAGGGGGATCTCTGCGGGTACAGGGGTCAGTGGCTCCGCCCCTAATTAAGCCCTGCCCATAATTAAGCCCACCCCGACTAAGCCCCGCCCTCACCGATCTTGACGGGGAAGCCAGGGGGCAGCTTGAGGGTGATGAAGTCGCGCAGTTTGGCGAAGTGGGCGTTGGAGATGGCCATGAGGTCGATGATGGGCGTCACCTGCTCCGCCAGCGACAGCGGGTGCTGCTCGCACAGCCACAGCGTTGCCTTGAACCTGCCCGGGCACCGCCGTGGGCACGGGGACCCGCCGGGGACACCGCCCCCGCTCACCAGCACCGCCCCGGGGACACTGCCCCGGGACCGCGGCACCGCTCCCGGGGGGACACACACCCGGTGCCGCGGCCCCTGGGACCCTGTCACCACCCTCATGGGTCCTGACATCCAGTGCCACCTCCCCTGAGACCCTGTCATGGCTTCTAACACCAAGTGCCACATCCTAGGGGTCCATGTCACTGCCCCCAGGGGTCCTGACACCCACTGCCATGTCCCTGGGACCTTGTTACCACTCCAGTGTGACAGCCCCTGGGACTGTTTCACCACCCCTGTGGGTCCTGACACCCAGTGCCACATCCCCAGGACCCCATTATGGGTCCTGACACTCCATACCACAGCCCCTGGGACCCTGTCAGCATCCCAGGGGTCATGGTCCCTGGGACAGTGCCACCATCCCTCTGCCACATACCCCAGGACCCTGCTACCACCCCATAGGTCCTGACACCCGGTGTCATGTCCCCATGATCCCCATCCCCCCAGGGCAGTGGCCTCACCTCTGGACCTTGCTGGACATCTCGATGGGGCGCCCGATGTTGCGGGTCTCGAGGTCGAAGTGGGGGTCGAAGTACTCCTCAGGGGTGATGGCCGTGGGGTTGGTGGGGCTGGCAGCCTGCAGCACGGGCGCCTGTGGGGACACGACCACTGCTCAGTGCCCCCAGGACCACCAGCCCCCTTTGGGGACCCCCAGTCTCCCCAGGAACCCCCCTGGCCCAGTCACTCACCCCGTTGTGGGTGCTGTGCTGCTGTGCGATGCCCAGGAAGGAGTGGAAGGGGGTCTTGGAGCCTGGGAGGAGAGAGGGGTGCAGGGGTGCAGTGTGGGCAGTGGGGGGGCACCCCCAGGGCTGCCCAGGCTGTCACCAGTCACACCCTGCATGGGGTGCCACACCTGATGGGTGACACCACACACGGTGTCCCACGCCTGGCACATCACACTCCACACCCAGACTGTCCCACACCTGATATGTCACCCCCCACACCCACAGTGTCCCGCTCCTGACAGGTGACACCCTGCACCCATGGTGTCCCACGCCTGGTGTCCTATACACTGTCCTGTGCCTGATGGGTGACACCCCATGCTCATGGGGTCCCACACCTGTCACATGTCACCCCATCCCCCAGGTGTCCCACACCTGACTGGTGACACCCCACATGCTGTCCCATGGCTGACATGTTACACTGCACACCTACAGTGTCTTGTACCTGATGGGTGACATCCTACACACTGCCTCGTGCCTGATGGGTGACACCCCATGCTCAAGGTGAGCCACACCTGTCACACTGCCACACCCAGCACCCAGTGTCCCACACCTATCATGTGTCACACTCCACACACTGTCCCACGCCTGGGGGACACCTGTCCCACACCCAGTGTCCCACACCCAGTGTCCCACACTTGACACACGTCCCACCCTGGAAGGGAGCGGGCTTTGCACAGGAGTGGGCACGTCCCTGCGGCACACAGGCCCCCGACTGGCTGGCGGGGCTGTCACCTTTACTGCGTGACTTGTCCTGGTCCGAGAGATGCTCTGTCCTGGTCTTGGTGACCAGCTCCACATTACTGGCACTGTACACCTGAGGGGGTGACACCATCAGCCCCCTGCGCTCCAGGGTGCCCCACTGTCCCCCACCATTCTCCGTGCCCACCTTGGCCTCGTAGCCGCTGACCACCTCCATCTTCTCCGAACGCCAGCCCCAGATCCCAGACTTGTTCCTGGGAGGGTAGAAGGTGTCAGGTCCCCACGGGGGGGTCCCCACAGCCGCTCACCCTCTTCTTGCACAAGCGTTTCCTTCCCCTTCGCACGTGCTTCCCCCTGCAACGGCCCCTTCCTGCTGAGTGTCACCAGCCCCTGCCAAGCCAGGGTGCCATCCTCGCCCTTCCCACCTCTCGAAGGCAATATTCCGGGTGTCCAGATGCGTGGAGACGATGGGGGAGGTGAGCCTGCCGGCCACGTGCTCCTCTGTGGGCTGCATGGCCGCCAGCAGCAGGTCGGGCTCGTGCAGGGCCAGCGCCAGCGTCTCCGTGTACACCACCTGCTTGTCGTGGTCCACCTCCATCACCACGGCCCCCTCGTCTGCGGGGGACACCGGGGGGCTCAGAACACAGCCCCCCGTGGCACCCCCCAGCATGGGGATCTGAGGGTTTTGGGGGAATTGGGGAACCCTGGTGTGTGTAGGGGCTGAGGTGGTTCCCTCAGGAAGAGGGAATTGGGGGTTCCTGGTACATGTAGGGGTTGAGGTGTTCCCCTCACAAACAGGGAAATGGGGCCCCCATGGAGTCACTATAGGGAATCTGGGGGAACTGGGGGTCCCTGCAGGAGACTGGAGTCCCTGGTATATGCAGGGGCTGAGATGGTCCCCTCAGAAAAGAGGAATTGGAGTGCCCAAGGGGTACCTGTAGGGGATATGGGGGGATTGGGGTTTCCTGGTACAGATAGTGGCTGAAGTGGTCCCCTCAGGAACAAGGAAATGGGGTCCCCATGGAGTCATTATAGGGGATCTGTGGGAATTGGAGGTCTCTGCAGGGGACGGAGGTCCCTGCTATGTGTGGAGGGCCTGAGGTGGTCCCCTCAGGAAGGAGGAACTGGGGTCTCAGGGGGTCGCTATAGGGGATCTGGGGTCCTTAAAAGGGAGTACTTATAATGCAGGGGTCTTGGGGAGGCATCTGGAGGGTCCCTGAGTGTATCTGGGATCCCAGGGGGTTCCTATAGGTAATCTGGGAGGTCCTTATGGTGGTATTTATGGTGCAGGGGGTCTGGAGGGCAACTGGAGGATCCCTCAGCATACCCAGAGTCCCTACAGGGGATCTGTGTTACTTACAGGAGTGTACTTATAGAGTAGGGGGTCTGGGGGGCTCCCCAGGTGACTGGAGGTTCCCAAGAGGCCCTTATGGGGATGTACTTTTAGTGTAGGGGTTTCTGGGGGCTCCCCAGAGAGACTGGAGGGTTCCAGGGTTTATCCAGTGCCCCAGGGGGTCCAGATAGGTCCTTACAGGGGTGTACCTATAGTGCATGGGGTCTGGCACAGTGACTAGAGAGTGTTTGGGTCCCAGGGGGGCCCTATAGGGGATCTGGGGTCTTTATGGGGATGTACATATAGTGCAGAGGTGTGGGGGATCCCCAGGGTGATAGGACGGTCCCAGGGGGTCCCGGAGCAGGGGGTTGGAGCTGACCTTCCCCCTTGAAGATGTAGCTGCGGCGGCCGCGCTGCCACGTCATGTGCTCGAAGCCCAGCAGGGTGGTGTCCACCCGCAGGCTCTCGCCGCGCTTCCACACGCGGTACACGTCACTGGGACACACCTTGGACACCAGCGGCACTGCGGGCATGGGGACCCCCTCAGTGACACGCCCGGGGGGCTCCCCAGGACACCCCACAGCCCCTCACCTCGCAGAGCCCGGCCATGCTCACCCCAGCTGGTGAACTCCCACTTCATCTCCACATAGAAGTCGGATGCCTGGAAGGGATGAGGAGCATGATGAGCTTGGGGGGCTCCCTGCTGGGGTCCACTGGGGAGTCCTGGGGGCAGGGATTGGGGTCCCTATAGGTGGAGATATGGGGATCTGGGAGAGTGGAGTCATGGGTGAGGGTCCCCGGGGAAGGATAAGCAAGGGGGCCCCAGGGAAAAAGGATAAACACAGGATCCCCAGGCAAAGAGTGGGGTCAGTGGGGGGTTCTGAGGAGAACTGGAGGTTCCTGCTGGGGTTACTGGGGAGGTGGGGAGTCCTGGGAGCAGGGACTGGAGTTCCTATTCGGGTCCTAGGTAGGGATATGGGGATCAGGGAGGATGGGGTCATAGGTGGAGATTCACAGGGATGGATAAGCAGGGGGTCCCCAGGGAAAGAGTGGGGTCAATAGGGAGTTCTAGCAAGACTTTGGGGGATCCCTGGTGAGGTCACTGGGGAGGTGGGGAGTCCTGAGGGAAGGGATGGGGGTCCCTACTTAGGCCCCGGGTGGGATCAGAGTGGGGTCATTGGTGCAGGCCAAAAAGGGGATCTCCAGGGAAGGAGTGGGGTCAATGGGGAGTTCTGGGAAGACTTGGGAGGTCCCTTCTGGGCAGTGGGGAGTCTGTGGGGCAGGGACAGGTGTCCTTACTGGGGTCCTGGGTGGGGATAAGGGCAACCTAGAAGAGTGGGGTCATGGGTAGGGTTCCCCAGGGAAAGAACGGGATCAATGAGGGTTCCTGGGGAGGTTTGGGGGTGCAGAGGCTGTGGTGGGCCACCAGCTGTAGGGGATCCGTACCCGCCGGAGCTTGCTGAGCAGCTCTGGGATGCCGGCGAGCCGCCGCGTCGCCCGCTGGTAGTCACGGTACTGAAGCACCAGCTGCACCATCTCGGGGTCCCCCGTGCTCACGGCCTCCTGCAGCACTTGGGGGGCACAGGGCAGGGTCACCCGGGGGCTGCTGTGGCAGTGTGCCCGTATCCCCACAGCGCCACAGTGTCCCCGTACCTGTCCATCCGTTGGCGTTCTCCCGGCCCACGTTGGCGTTGTGCCGCAGCAGCACCCGCACCGACTCCAGGTGGCCCAGGGACACGGCCAGTTCCAGGGGCGTCCGGCCACGGGGGTCCGTCAGCTCCACATCGTGCTGAAAGGGTGGCGGGTCACTGCCCCCTGGGCACCCCGTGCCACCCAGTGCCCCCCAATACTCCCCCTGCATGCCCCATGCTCCAAAGGCCTAGTGCTCCCAGTTCCCCCCTAACTCCAGTGCTCCCAGCCCCTCTTCTCCCAGTGTCCTCCATTTCCCAGCCCCTCTTCTCCCAGTGTCACAGAGCCCCCCCCAAGTCTCCCTGTATCCCAGTGGTGTTACCCCAGTGCTCCCAGTTGCTTCCTGACCCCTGGTGCTACAGTACCCTATTATCCCACTGTCACCAGTCCTACCAGTGCCACCAGTTCTTCCAGTGCTCCCAGTCCCCTGTGTCCTAGTCTCCCTCAGTACTCCCCTTCCCCCCAGCGCTCCCAGTCTTCCTGGTCTCCCCTCGTGCTCTTAGTGGTCCCTCCCACCCAGTGCTGCCAGTCCCCCATGTTGCCAGTCTTCACAGTCTCCCCCAGTGCTCCCAGCCTCCCCCCAGTGCTCCCAGTCCCTCCCAGTCCTTCCAATGCCCTGTACCCCCAGTCTCCCCTAGTGCTTCCAGTCCCCCTGCAATGCTCCCAGTCCCCTCCCAAGTGGTCCCAGTCCTCCCAGTGTTCCATGCCCCCAGCCCTCCCTAGTGCTCCCAGTTTCCCTCCAGTGCTCCCAGTCCTTATAGTACCAACCCCCCCCAGTGCTTCTAGTTTCTCCCAGTCCGGTAAGTCCTCCCAGAGCTCCCAGTCCCATATACCCTCAGTTCCCCCAGTTCCCTGTACCCCCTCTCCCCTAGTGCTTCCAGTCCCCCTGTAATGCTCCCAGTCCTCCCAGTCTCCCCCGGTGCTTCCAGTCCTCCCAATAGCTTGTACCCCCAGTCTCCCCTAGTGCTTCCAGTCCCCTCCCAGTGCTCCCAGTCCTTCCAGTGGCTTGTGCCCCCAGTCTTCCCTACTGCTCCCAGTCTCCCTCCAGTCCTCCCAGTCCCCCTCCCACACTGCTCCCAATTTCTCCCAGTGCTTCCAGTCCCCGTGGTGCTCCCAGTCCTCCCAACAGCCTGTATCCCCAGTCTCCCCTAGTGCTTCCAGTCTGCTACCCGTGCTCCCAGTCCCCCCTAGTCCTCCCAGTCCCCCTCCCCCACTGCTCCCCCTTTCTCCCAGTGATCCCCAGCCCCCCCCCATCCCCCCCGCCCCCAATGCTCCCAGTTTCCCCAGTGCTCCCAGTCCTGCCGGTCCTCCCAGTACAGCCCCCCATCCCCAGTGCTCCCAGATTCCCCCAGTCCTCCTAGTCCCCCCCCCCGACATTCCCAGCGCTCCCAGTCCCCCATTCCGGCGCGGCGGGTCCCCCTCTCTCCCTCCCCTCCCCTCCCGCTCCCATCCCGGTGCCGGTGCGCGGTGGGGGTGGGGGAGGGGGGTGCCCGTTCTCCCTGTGCCATTCCCGGTGCCGCTCCCGGCGGCATTCCCACCGTCCCCGCGCGCAGGGCGCTGTCCAGCGCCTGGTGCCGGTTGTGCCAGACGAGCCGGTGCAGCGGGAAGGTGTCGGCGGGCCGGGCCATCCCGGCACCATGTCCCCGGGGCCGCCGGGGCGGACGGACGGGCCGCAGCGCGGGGCCTGCCCGCAATGGCTGCGCGGGGGCGGCGGCGGCGGCGGCGCAGAGCGGCGGCTGGGGCGGGGCCGCACCGGGCACCGGGAGCGGCCACCGGGAGAGCGACGGCAGCGGCGAAGGGAAAGGCGGTGGCACCGGGCACGGGGATGGGCGCTGGGAACGGCACCGGCAGCGGGCACGGGCGCTGGGAACGGCACGGGCGATGGCACAGGGCACCGGCACCGGGAACGGCACCAACCACGGAGGGACAGCGGACCCCAGCTCATCCTCGTCCCGGGGCTCCCTCACCTCTTTTAAAAATGTCATGACATCAGTCCCACAGTGGGTACACAGTGCTCAGGACCACTGCGCACCCAGTACTGGGCATATCTCATCCCATCCCATCTCATCCCATCCTCATCCTTACCCCCTTTCATGTGGTGACATCAGCTCTGTAGTGGGTACCTGGTGCTCGGGACCACTGTGCACTCAGATCCAGGTTTACCCCATTTACCCTATCTTATCCCATCCCACCCTGACCAGTCCACCTCATCATCCGGGGGCTCTCTGACCCCTTTTATGTGGTGACATCAGTCCTGCAGTAGGTACACAGTGCTCAGGACCACTGTGCACCAGGCTCTGGGCTTACCCCATCCCATCCCATCCCACCCCACCCCACCCCATCCCATCCCATCCCACCCCACCCCATCCCATCCTATCCCATCCCCAGGAATGCTGGAGCACCGGCCCTGCACGCCTGCCGCGCCCCGACGCACAGCCCGCAGGCAGGGTGTGCGCAGGAGAGGTGCCATCTGCACTGCCCGGTGACAAGAGGACAGCCAAAGTCACCCCCAGTGACAGCATAGCAAAGGGGAACACAATCCCCAGCACCCCCCGCTGGCCCGGGACCTCCCACCCTGCAGGGCTTGGGGACTCCCTGGGATGTCCCCAGAGTGCCAGTGTGTCCATGGGGGGACACAGGGGCAGCCCTGTGACAGGGAGGTGACAGGGACACGGTGACACCCTCAGCAGGCACAGTGACCTCTCCACCCCCCGCAGGGAGGAGAAGCCAGGTGGTGTTTTTCTATGTTTTTATTATAAAAACTCTTTTTTTTTGGCATTCTCACATCTCTGCTCATGAAAATCTCACTCACCCGGTGGCCCCCCCTCTGCCCGGTGCCCCCCATGCCCGGTGCCCCCCATGCCCAGTGCCCCCCCAGCCCCTGGAGTAGAGTGACCAGAGACCAATATTTACAGATGCTGCCAAGAACCGGGGAGGGAGGGGACGCCTGTGCCCATCAGGAGGCTGATTTGGGGGGGTCCCACCTGATCCCTTCTCCCCTGGGAAGGGGGGGTGGCAGTGGGCTGGGGGTGCCCTCCTTGCCCTGGGGAGCGGCAGAAGGGGCAGAGGCAGAGCCGGGGGGTACAGGGGACCTGTGGGACAGTATTTACAGGGGTTCCCCCGGCAAACACACACACACACACACACACACACACACACACACACACACACACA